CTTTTTTCCAAAACTCTAGAATTCCAAGGCATCGAATAGCTTTAGGACGGCGGAATCCAGACATTCCTTGAGCTAATGCCAGCATCAAATTCCTGTTCGTCTTCCTTCCACCCGGCTAATCTCATTGCAAGCGTTGGTTTGGCTTTAATGAGAGATACAACGACGCGACGGAGATGAAACCGACTCCGCGCGTTTTGGAGGTAGCGGAGACGGAGGACGGCGCGACGGAGGGAGAGGTCGTTTTTGGGAGTGTCGAAGAAAAGGTTGCGCTGGTGGAGGGTTTTGAGGTGAAACGGAGTGAGGGAGAGTGGTGAGACGGAGATGAGCAGCTGCGGTGAGGAGACGGAGCTTGACTTCGACTTCCATGGAGGGTTGGTTTCAAGAGGAAGGGAGGCCGATTCGGTCGGATTTGGAAGATGGGTTTTTGTGTTTAGGGTCGATGAGGTGGAGGAGGGAAGAGGAAGATGGAGCGGTGGTGGTGGTGGTGGTGGTGGGTGGTTCAGATTTGCGGGATTGTTCAAGCTCTTCTCGGTCTTCAATTTTAAGTTGGATTTTTGTGGGTTTTCTTCTCAACATTTCGGATTTGTGACGGAAGAAGGTAAAGTTCTTTGCTTTGCATTCTGTCAAATAGAGTTCTTCTGACGCATTAGACAGGCCTGATATGTCTCGGCCCGGTTAAAACCGAAGACAGTTTTTAGCCAGGCCCGTTTCAGGCTTTGCCACAACAAAATGTGTTGGTTTTACCGAGTTTATCATTGTTGATGAAGTTGGAAATAAAATAACTATCAAAATAGGATTTGTTAAAAATTTTGATTTATTTTTAATAACAAAAGATTCAAAGGATGTCTGAGCAATAAATAGAAAATAGATCGCTCGGGGCGAGTTAGATGGATCAAACAGAACATGAACTCTTTTTTGGTGGTGTGGTTAATTGTTTAATGTTTTTTTTTTTTAAAAGATACACTAGATATTGTGGATCCGTGTTTGAGAAATCGTCCGTCTAGACGGTAAGCGGCGACCTTTCATCGTGATTTTCCTCTATGCGATATAACTACAGTAGAAATTCTATAAATTAATATTCGATAAATTAATAAATATTATTAATAATTTTTCATAGTTCCGAGTTGGGACAGTTCAAAATATGATACAATTCGATAAGATAATAAGATAATAACTTTAACAAAACTTCTATGTAAATATATGGTCCCATTAATATTATAAATTAATAATTACCATAAACAAAATCTAATTTAAACATATACATGAGATAATCTACTAAAATATAAATATAATGATGCTTTTTATTCATTTTAAACTATTTTTTTTTTTGAAAATCATCTTAAATTTTAGAATTTTTTTTTAAAAGTTATAAAATCTTTTTTAAAATTAATAAGAAATAAGAAATGTTTTTTTCTTTGAAATCTATAAATTAATAACTCTATTTTTAATAAAATATCAAAGTCCCAACATTATTAATTTATAGAGTTTTTACTGTATGTGGTTTTCAATTACTGTTATTAAATCGGCAATTAATCTCTTAAAATAAACGGTGATGTTTAAGTACAAAATCGATTCAATTTTTGGTGAAAAGCCAAATTTTATCTGCACACGTTTGTAAAACCCAATAAATTTTTGAACATTATCGACAACTTTTTTCAGAGTTTGATCCATTCGAACCCTAATCACAGTTAACCCCAAGTCAAGATGAAATCGAGACTAAATATAGCATAATCGAGACCAATTTCAAGCATATTCAAGCTCCTGTCATCTACGAACTTTTGGTTTCCGTATTTGAGGTAAGAACTCTCAAACTCGATCCTGAGTTTGGTTAAAGTGTAGCTTTGTGTTTGTTTGATTTTTAACAAGCTTTCCTTGATCAAGGTTCTATGGACAATCCACCAACTGATACACCTCTTAAGCAGAACTCAAGTGATGTGGGGTTGGAATATGGAGTGTTGTGTGATCCAAAGAGTCCAGACAAAGTGAAATGCATACTCTGTGGGAAAGAAAATTCCCGGTGGTATGTTCAGCGTGAAGGACCACATTGCTCATCACAAAGGAAACATGTCTTCTTGTCCAGCATCTAACTAAAGAGGATAAAGAGAAGTGTATGAAGGCGCTTATAGTAGCAAAAGACAAGAAATGTCAGAAAAGAAAACATGAGGCAGCTTTGAGGGCTGAGGTGAATATTTTTAAGAATATCATCACTAATGAACTAGAAGAGAGCTTGGAACTCTAAATAATCCTCATTTCCTATGAATAGATTTGCTACCTGCATTATTCTTGAAGTTTCTTTGGCTAGACAGAAAAACAGCAAAATATCCATGATGCCATTTCTAAAGAGAGGACACATGTTGTACGTCAATACTGTGCTATGTGGATTTTTGAGTCAAGTATCCCATTCAATGCCATAGAAAATGAACCATTTAGGTTATTTTGTGAAGCATTGGGCACTTTGGGCCTGGTTGGGTGCCGCCAAGTCAGTATCAGCTGCGTGAACCATTGTTAAATGAAGAATATATAAGGACATAGGAAAAACTGAAGAGTCTAGAAGAAGAATGGGAAAGAGAAGGCTGCTCTGTGATGACAGATGCATGGACTGACATGAAAAGGAGAAGCATAATGAATTTGTGTGTCAATTCAAGAGGAGGTACATACTTTCTTTCTTCAAAAGACACTTCCTACTTGCACAATCTTTTCAGCTCCTATATCTTCAATGCACTTGTCGATGTAGTTGAAGATATACTAACCTGTGTGACCGACAAAGCTACCAACAATGTAGCAGCTGAAATGTTGCTTAAAGAGATGAGACCAAGTATATTTTGGATAAGATGTGTTGCTCACACACTGGACTTAATGCTTGAGGGAGTTTCTAAGTTGCAACATTTTGCTAAAGTCATAGATCAAGCAAATGCTGTCACCATCATTGTATATGCTCATTATAAAACATTATCAATGATGAGATAATTTATAAAGAAGAGAGACATTGCCAAACCAGGAGCAACAAGTTTTGCAACTTGTTTCTTGAAACTACATAGCTTGTATGACAAGAAGGCTCAACTAAAGGCTATGTTTACCAGCGATGAGAGGCATGAAAGCACACATTCAAAATCTGTGAAGGCAAAAAATGTGTTTGATATTGTTATGAGCTTTGGATTTTGGAATTCTGTGATGGTTGTTTTAAAAATCTTCAGCCCTTTGGTGAAGGTTTAATGTTGGCAGATGGAGAGAATTAAGATCCTTCTATTGGGTTTATTTTTGGTGAGATTCTAAAAGCTAAGAAGTCTATCAAGGAAGTTGCTGATCATTTGTAGAAGAATTACCAACCTGTGTTTCAGATTATTGATGAGAAAACAAAAGGTAAGTTAGATTCTCCGATACATATCCATGCATACTTCTTCAATCTGTTTTACTTCTACAAGGACCCCAATGTCCAATATGATTGGATATCATAGAAGGATTCATTAGTTGTGTAGAGATTTTTTTATCATGATCAGATTGAGAAACAAGATAAAGTCGTGAATCATGAAATTAGTCCTTATAAGAACAAAGTTGGATTGCTCGGCAGAAGTTTAGCACATAAAGGACGTGAACAGAAAGATGACAAGTTTGATCAAGGTCTGTCTTTGTATTTTGCTTATTTTTATTGATCATTAAGTTTTCTTACTTCTTTAATAACGTCAGTTATTTAATCTTAGGGAATTGGTGGTCGACCTATGGATGTGGTGCACCAATTTGCACTGATCTCATATTGTACATCCACACTAAGAAAAGGAATAGACTAGATGTTAACCGGTTAAATAATCTAGTGTCTGTCCAATTTAATGCTAGACTGTTTAATAAACGAAAAAAAAAAAATCAGAGAACCAAAAGCTGATGTGATACTTGAAGATGGCAATGAAAATATATTTGAAGATTGG